ACTATTACACTCTTTCCCCCTATAAATCCTACTATTACACTCTTTCCCCCTATAAATCCTTACTATTACACTCTTTCCCCCTATAAATCCTTACTATTACACTCTTTCCCCCTATAAATCCTTACTATTACACTCTTTCCCCCTATAAATCCTTACTATTACACTATTTCCCCCTATAAATCCTTACTATTACACTCTTTCCCCCTATAAATCCTTACTATTACACTATTTCCCCCTATTAATCCTTACTATTACACTCTTTCTCCCTACAGAATAAAACATCTAAAATTATTATTCTCCAAAAATTTATGCTAAACTACAAAGAGCCTCATTACCCCCAAATATTTTAAAATTACCCCGTGGGATAATTACCCCTGATATATATACTTGTGTTTGTTATATCATTGGGTGTTCAAAGAGAGTTAGCATGCCTCACATATTTATAATGCTCTCAAAATTTATTAAGTTTTTTTGGACTTTTGGATTCTAATAACTGATAGCTGACGAGTTGAGGAATAACCCTTACATCCATCTGTACAGTTCAGAAATTTCTTAAGGGCAATTTGTGACAGGATGATAAGATTATCCATATATAATATCAGTTTAAAATACAGAAAAGTCTGCTAGTGCATTAGGAATGGTGAATAATTCTCTCTCCACTTTCAGGAAAAGAAACATAAAAAAGAGAAGAAGAAGAAAATAAAATCAACGTCAAGTTCTGACAGCAGTGATTCAGATACCAATCATAGACATGTATGATTTTATTTATTTGTTTTACTTGAGCTCTCATGCTGTCTTTATCCTCATTAGGACAGCAAGTTTTGAACTTTCCAATATCGTGTTTAATCAAAGTGGGCCAACTTCCTGAACAGGGGTGAGACATTGTCAAAATGAATATTCTACAATTTGAGAAAGACTCTCAACTCATATCCAATTAGCTAGAGCTCATTCAATGTTGCCAACACGAGTTCTTGATAAATAATCCTCATCAGGATAGCTTTATTAGAAATGGGGCTTATCTTCGTACAATAGACCTGCAATATGACGAAGTCTTGTTTACCTTCTTTTTGTGGTGTTTAGTAGCCTAAGAACATCCCTTTTCCTGTAATATTTAAAACATAGCACAAGTTTACAATCTTTTTTTCTAACTATTACAGAAAAAGAAGAAAAGTCATAAGAAAGACAAGAAAAGAAAAAGACGTCATAGTTCAAGTAGTGGTAGTTGATTTCAATTCTATATTCCGTCAGTTTCCTGCAGCCAGAATAAAAGATTGGGATACTAGTTTTTGGTGATAAATCTCAGGATTTATAAACAAGGACATTTTGAATGAGAACGAGTAACTGTTATATTTGTGGAGAAGCAAAGGTATTGGAAGATTTATGAGCACATTTATTATCAAGGGCATTTGGAAACTTTAATGCTTTTTCAGTAAAACATTATTTTGTTATGAACGAAGTTAACATAACACAATTTTACCAAGCTACAAGGTGTAAACCCTAAACCACACCTTGACAAAATGTATTAAAACTTGAGAGTGTGATTTGGAATTGTTATATATTGATCAGACAAGGGGTGTGGTTTTACTGTTCACACAATGTTAGATTGACTGGTTTTTGAGGCGGAGCGTAATTTGACCTGACTTCATCATCTTAAGTATCGCCATGTATCTTTTTAATCATGTTCGAAAATTCTCACTCACTGACAACTCTTCTTTGAGTTTCCTAATTCAGACCACAAATACATCTTCAGTTATAAATAGTTCATTATCAGAGACCCTAGCCCTCGTTGATAGCCATTATTGACTGAAGTTTTTAAATCATAAATTCTCACCCGCCATCTTGTTTACTCAAGTTATTTTATCTATGTGTTACTATGGCTACCAGGTAGTGTCACCCATCTTATCGACATGTTGCTATGGTAACCAGGTACTGTGATCTAGTCGTACCTGCTGTAATGTTTGGTTTAGTTGTAATATAATAATGAAATGAATTGATAAATCTACTGATTAGGGTATCGATAAATAATCTACTAGATATGGTTATGATATTATTTACTGCACTTCTTGTATTTATGATCAATGTTGGTATTCGAAGCTCGCTGGTAGGCGTTATTATATAATCAATGATAATAACTGCTGGTGAAAATGTAACGCCCTGGATGATGGGCATTTATTATCATGTAGTAGTTATGATCATCAAGGTGCAAGTTCTGAATAAATTTTGGCATTCGAAGCTTGCTAGCAGGGTGTTATTATATAATGAACATTTAAGGAATAAATGTGGATCTTGTTATCATTATAAATAAACGCTGGTTTTTCATATGATATGAGTTATTTCCAATATTTTCAAGCCAAAATAACTGATCAAAGCAAGAATATACTTCTATGACGCAAAAATAATTCATGAAATTAAGAATTTTGGCATGTTTTTAATTTAGTATTTACAGGGTTTTTCAATTCAATTATTTGGATTATTAATCGATTATTGATCGATCTCAATTTAGTAATCGATACCCCGTCCTATGTGAAATCAGGTGGTCTGAAAGAGAAAGCATGCCCTGCCTTGATAGTTACACCCTTCACACTCAGAGTACTTTTATAGTCGAGCTGAAATTTGATGAAGTTTTTAGACTTGAACTCTTGAGCTTAAAGATTTATGAAATAAAATATAAGGTAGATACAGTAGGCTACTTATATCAATAATATAAAGCCATGCCTAGTTTTACAATCAGTTATAATTCAGTCAATGACTAGAGATGACTAATTTATTATCATTTTATTATCCAATATATTGACAATACATATATCTTAAAGTATAAAACTTGACAATATGACATATTAGTATGTCGAGTTTCACCGCCATGTCATTCGATCCGACCAGATCTAACGAAGAATCAACAACACAGAATCATCCAATTTGAACCAATCCAACTACCAACTACTACGACTACCAACAACTACCTAGTTTGCGATATCAGCATCCGCTGGAAGCGAACGTTAACTTGTCATCTACCAACAACTACCTAGTTTGTGATATCAGCATCCACTGGAAGCGAACGTTAACTTGTCATCTACCAACAACTACCTAGTTTGTGATATCAGTATCCACTGGAAGCGAACGTTAACTTGTCATCTACCAACAACTACTTAGTTTGCGATATCAGCATCCACTGGAAGCGAACGTTAACTTGTCATCTACCAACAACTACTTAGTTTGCGATATCAGCATCCACTGGAAGCGAACGTTAACTTGTCATCTACCAACAACTACCTAGTTTGCGATATCAGTATCCGCTGGAAGCGAACGTTAACTTGTCATCTACCAACAACTACCTAGTTTGCGATATCAGTATCCGCTGGAAGCGAATGTTAACTTGTCATCTACCAACTAACATATTAGTATACTATTCCCTCGGAGGTGGAGGAAACATCTGAGACAGACAAGTCTGATGTGGATTTGTTGACATTAATATTATTAACCTTAAAATAACCTTTATATAGACTATCTTAATCTCTTAACTCTAGTTTAAATAGATAATAGGGTTCTCTATATAGGCCTGGGATAACATAGCTTATAGCCTGACAAATCTCACCCTACTGGTCGTTGGGCATGACATACGGAAGTAATAAAAATTCCATACCAGAAAGAAAATTCCATTAATCAAAATCTCGTCCATAGTTAAAGTTGTATACTAGTGGTCTCCTCCAAAGAGAAGTACCATCAGGTGTTTCGAAAAGAGTAAGCAAGTTGGACCAGATGTAAAAAGTCACATTTTAAGGGAGTTTCTGCAATCTATTTTGAGTCACTAATTTTTGAGAATTTTTACCATGACAAAAACCTAATTTGGCATTAATACCATCAAGACATTACCCTATGCCTCGCCCAGAACCACAATACAGTCAAGGGCTAGGCTTTTCTATTCCTCATACAACTCTGTATGTTAAGCCTTCTACTTGACTGTATTCTGGAACTAGGTGAGGCACAGGGACATTGCAGAATATACAGAAATGTAGTCAAGTCTTTGAATGGTATTTAGTGATTGTAAGTATGATATATAGACACAGCTTTATAGAACAACAATCACTGGTTAAAGTTTTATACATGTGCCTGAAGACGACAGGGGAAACATTGCATCAGTGATTATTGTTCCATAAAGCTGTGTGTTTATATCCAGAAATGTATTAATGGATTCATTATTGGGGTGTTATTTTCACATTCTCAGACAATATTTCATACAGCACTATCTAACACTACACTGTCTTTTTCTTTTAAAGTTAAAAAATTTCATGATTAACGATATCATGTAGACTCGTGTCCTCGAAAAATTAACATGTTCAAACAAATATTCTGCAAACCTTGTCCTCTAATTTGTCCTTGATAAAAATAAAAAAAAATAGTTTATCAGTGAAATATATCTAGTTTGAACAGATCATGTTATCTTGTTTTTTTATCAAGTTGATTATACAAACATATCTTTATCATAAACATACTCATTTCATGAACTTATTTTTTATTATCAAGGAAATATGCAAATCTGTCAGCAATGGCGTTTCTACAGGAGTGTGGTGGAGCCTTGTACCCATACCCTCAAACTTTTTCAATCATTTTACTTAGGTATTTGGGGGTGAGAGCTGAGACCCGGCAGACTCACAGAAATCCTGGCCAGGGCAGTGTGCAATGAGGGAAGTCTTGCCAGGGCAACAGTGTGTATTTCAATGTCCTGCTGTGGGATCTTTATCACATAGAAACCCCGAGTGTATTGTCCCATCAGAATATCAATATTCTTTTTGCACATCAGTCCCTCCCCCAGGCATCACATATAGTCCTGTCACACCAGAAAGACATCCTTACTACCCAGATAAATAGACTCAGAGTGTGTTAAGGTCACCATAAGCTTGTTACATGTATAAGCGTGTAAGAAATGCTATGTATAACGATCTGTTCTGGAACACTATGATAACACCATGGTCTCGATAAGGTGTTTGACAAGCGTTGTAAAATCTCCACTAACGAAACAAAAGCCCAAAAGTATCTCTTGGCCTTTTAACATTACCATTATGAATATGTATAAAATTTCCACATTGTAATAAGGGCCTATAAATAAGACTTGCGAAACAGTATTACTTCATTTTAATAATGAATAAGCCTTTCATTAATAATAATAATAATAATAGACAATAACAGTGATATTAAACCAAGACTAAATCTACAACTAATCTAATATTACATTCAATACTACTATATTCTACAATTTGTTAGGGACCAATTTATCTTGCTAAGGGAGGAGTCAATATTTTATAGAAGGAGCCATGACATTCTAGCACAAAATGGGAGGAGTTGAGAACTATGTCATACCCTCTTACAAGTGATATCAAATCAAGCTCTCACATTCTATGGTTCAAGATGACATTGAATAGATCTGCCCTCAGATATAAAATACTACAACTCCCTTCAAACAGCCTTAAAGGGCTTGTGAAGAGAATCTTAAAAATGTTTGTGTATAGGGGACAATTCCACTGAAACTATGTGTTTAATGACGTCACTGTCACAAAGTTTTTTATACATCAATAGCAGGTTTTGCTTTAGTGACCTCATAAAATGCATACTTTCAGTGGAATTTCGAGATCCACAAATTGCAACTGGATGCTACCAATGTACCTGATACACATAAAAAGTTTACAAAACCTCTTCATAATCTCTTTAAAGTTCCATGGAGTTTTCATGCCCTTTAATGGTCCTCAAGAAATTCTATAATATAG